CCCTTCTGTCCCAGATTAATTCCTGGATTTTTTATAATAGGTTTTAATAAAAAAAATGTGATTTAATCCTTTACCTTCCCGGAGGTCCCTCTTTCAGTTCTGTTATTTCATCTTTAATTTTCATGGCACTCTAATGGCGATTGATGGCTTTTTATTTTATTTTATTTTTGTTTTCTTTTGGTTCATATTTCTCTTGTTTTATTATTACAGAAGAAATGTACAAATAATTATCCTTTTTACTGTTGTTATGGTATGTAAATGTTGTACATTATCTTGGAAAAAAACAATAAACAAATTTTGAAAAAAAAAAACAGAGAGAGGGAAATGTCAGTGTTGCATCAGGACTGAGTCTAAACTCTGTTTTTAGCCTAAAAAGTGTAAAAAGTGTACGACTCCAGTGAAAGAAATATAAACTTATATAACCGTGTATTTATCTGTAAGAGAGAAATAAGACGTTCTCTGTGATGTCACATGTGCATCTTTCAAACAGTGGAACAGGAGATGCAGAGGGCGCCGCGGCTCAAACAGCTCATTGTCCTCAAAGTGGGTCAGACACATTCAACAGAAACACAACGGACACACACTATCAAACCAGGGAACGGTCCCGGGTCTGGGTCCAGGATCAGAGTCCGGGTCCAGGATCAGAGTCCGGGTCCAGGATCAGAGTCCGGGTCCGGGGTTTTTTTCGACAGGGACTGACGATAAGATCTCTGTGATACATGTGACCCAACACTCTCTCTCTGGTCTCTCTCTGGTCTCTCTCTGGTCTCTCTCTGGTCTCTCTCTGGTCTCTCTCTGGTCTCTCTCTCTGGTCTCTCTCTCTGGTCTCTCTCTTTGGTCTCTCTCTCTGGTCTCTCTCTCTGGTCTCTCTCTGGTCTCTCTCTGGTCTCTCTCTGGTCTCTCTCTCTGGTCTCTCTCTCTGGTCTCTCTCTGGTCTTCTCTCTCTCTGGTCTCTCTCTCTCTGGTCTCTCTCTCTGGTCTCTCTCTCTGGTCTCTCTCTCTGGTCTCTCTCTGGTCTCTCTCTCTCTGGTCTCTCTCTGGTCTCTCTCTGGTCTCTCTCTGGTCTCTCTCTGGTCTCTCTCTCTGGTCTCTCTCTCTGGTCTCTCTCTCTGGTCTCTCTCTCTGGTCTCTCTCTGGTCTCTCTCTCTCTCTCTGGTCTCTCTCTCTCTCTCTGGTCTCTCTCTCTGGTCTCTCTCTCTGGTCTCTCTCTCTCTGGTCTCTCTCTGGTCTCTCTCTCTGGTCTCTCTCTGGTCTCTCTCTCTCTCTCTCTGGTCTCTCTCTCTCTCTCTCTCTGGTCTCTCTCTCTCTGGTCTCTCTCTCTCTCTGGTCTCTCTCTCTCTCTGGTCTCTCTCTCTCTGGTCTCTCTCTCTGGTCTCTCTCTGGTCTCTCTCTCTCTCTCTGGTCTCTCTCTCTGGTCTCTCTCTCTGGTCTCTCTCTGGTCTCTCTCTGGTCCCTCTCTGGTCTCTCTCTGGTCTCTCTCTGGTCTCTCTCTGGTCTCTCTCTGGTCTCTCTCTGTCTCTCTCTCTGGTCTCTCTCTCTCTCTCTGGTCTCTCTCTCTCTCTCTGGTCTCTCTCTGGTCTCTCTCTCTCTCTCTGGTCTCTCTCTCTCTCTCTGGTCCTCTCTCTCTCTCTCTCTGGTCTCTCTCTCTCTCTCTGGTCTCTCTCTCTGGTCTCTCTCTGGTCTCTCTCTCTCTCTCTGGTCTCTCTCTCTCTCTCTGGTCTCTCTCTGGTCTCTCTCTCTGGTCTCTCTCTGGTCTCTCTCTCTCTCTCTGGTCTCTCTCTCTCTCTGGTCTCTCTCTCTGGTCTCTCTCTCTCTGGTCTCTCTCTCTGGTCTCTCTCTGGTCCCTCTCTGGTCTCTCTCTGGTCTCTCTCTGGTCTCTCTCTGGTCTCTCTCTCTGGTCTCTCTCTCTCTCTCTGGTCTCTCTCTGGTCTCTCTCTCTCTCTCTGGTCTCTCTCTGTCTCTCTCTCTCTCTCTGGTCTCTCTCTCTCTCTCTCTCTGGTCTCTCTCTCTGGTCTCTCTCTCTGGTCTCTCTCTCTGGTCTCTCTCTCTCTGGTCTCTCTCTCTGGTCTCTCTCTGGTCTCTCTCTCTGGTCTCTCTCTCTCTCTGGTCTCTCTCTCTGGTCTCTCTCTCTGGTCTCTCTCTCTCTCTCTGGTCTCTCTCTGGTCTCTCTCTGGTCTCTCTCTCTCTCTCTGGTCTCTCTCTCTCTCTCTGGTCTCTCTCTCTCTCTGGTCTCTCTCTCTGGTCTCTCTCTCTCTCTCTGGTCTCTCTCTCTGGTCTCTCTCTGGTCTCTCTCTCTCTCTCTGGTCTCTCTCTCTCTCTCTGGTCTCTCTCTCTGGTCTCTCTCTCTGGTCTCTCTCTCTCTGGTCTCTCTCGGTCTCTCTCTCTGGTCTCTCTCTGGTCTCTGTCTGGTCTCTCTCTGGTCTCTCTCTCTGGTCTCTCTCTGTCTCTGGTCTCTCTCTCTGGTCTCTCTCTCTCTCTGGTCTCTCTCTCTGGTCTCTCTCTCTCTCTCTGGTCTCTCTCTCTGGTCTCTCTCTCTGGTCTCTCTCTCTCTGGTCTCTCTCTCTGGTCTCTCTCTCTGGTCTCTCTCTCTGGTCTCTCTCTCTGGTCTCTCTCTCTGGTCTCTCTCTCTGGTCTCTCTCTCTGGTCTCTCTCTCTGGTCTCTCTCTGGTCTCTCTCTGGTCTCTCTCTGGTCTCTCTCTCTGGTCTCTCTCTCTGGTCTCTCTCTCTGGTCTCTCTCTGGTCTCTCTCTGGTCTCTCTCTGGTCTCTCTCTGGTCTCTCTCTCTCTGGTCTCTCTCTCTGGTCTCTCTCTGGTCTCTCTCTGGTCTCTCTCTGGTCTCTCTCTGGTCCTCTCTCTGGTCTCTCTCTCTGGTCTCTCTCTCTGGTCTCTCTCTCTTGTCTCTCTCTCTGGTCTCTCTCTCTGGTCTCTCTCTCTGGTCTCTCGCTCTCTCTGGTCTCTCTCTCTCTCTCTGGTCTCTCTCTGGTCTCTCTCTGGTCTCTCTCTGGTCTCTCTCTGGTCTCTCTCTGGTCTCTCTCTCTGGTCTCTCTCTGGTCTCTCTCTCTCTCTCTCTCTGGTCTCTCTCTGGTCTCTCGCTCTCTCTGGTCTCTCTCTCTCTCTCTGGTCTCTCTCTCTGGTCTCTCGCTCTCTCTGGTCTCTCTCTCTCTCTCTGGTCTCTCTCTGGTCTCTCTCTCTGGTCTCTCTCTGGTCTCTCTCTCTCTCTCTGGTCTCTCTCTTTAGTCTCTCTCTCTCGGACTGTACCATCTCAGATCGCGGGGTGCCCCTCCCCCCTCCCTCTGCTCCTCAGATTTCCCATCATGCATCAGTGCTGAGTGTGGGAACAACGCGGAGCTGCTGATGCTGGAGCAAAACGCGTCATCACAGAATCACAGACGGCTCCACACAAACAGAACCTTTGACTTTCTTCTTCATATTTGATCCTGTGTCAGTGACAATAAAAACAACTGAAAACAAAAATATAATAATTATAAAAGAATTAAAACCATTTGGAAATGTCTAAAATAAAAACCACTTCTTTCTCTAAGCACTTTAAACTCTGCAGGTGGAAGTTTGAAGGAACAATAGGAAGTGTTTTATCTTAAGAAATGGGAGCAGCGTCTGATGCTCGAGCTCCTCCTCAACAACACATTTAAACTGTGCTGTCTCTGCTTCAGATTTACCTCATTTACATAAAACACTGTAAAAATATAAGTGTTTGAAGTAAAGAACAAAGAACCACAGAATAAAGACGTCCTTTCACAGAATCTTTCAGAAATAATGAAACTAAACAAAGAAATAAAAAGAAATAAAAGATAAAGTCCCGAAGAGTTTAGTCCTGACGTCACAATCCTTATCAAGTACTTCAAGTACTACAAATACTTTAAATACTGCACTGGACTAACGAGAACTTATTACAGAGACAAACAGAGCCGATCCAGACCAGTGCGGACCAGTGCGTGCTAAAGCATCCGTGTGGCGCAGAGATGGAGGTAGAAGAGTAACATTAGTTATACTCACGGCTCTCTCCAAAGTCAAAGAGGTTTCTCTTGTTTCTGTCTCAGAGAAACTGAGCAGTGCAGAAGTGTGTGGAGCGCGGCAGCAGCTGACAGCCTCTCCCCAAAACACAACAGGAAGAGAGTGAAGCCACAGCACGCACCAAGCACCGGAAGTACTACACAATAAAAGCACACGCGCACACCGGAAACGCGAGACAATAAAGGCATCAATAACAGTTAGAGCTCTCAGTGTTTGGACAGATGTTCACTTTTAAATATAAAGTGGGAGGGTCCTGGGTCTACAGCCTCAGTCCTGGGTCTACAGCCTCAGTCCTGGGTCTACGGCCTCAGTCCTGGGTCTACGGCCTCAGTCCTGGGTCTACGGCCTCAGTCCTGGGTCTACAGCCTCAGTCCTGGGTCTACAGCCTCAGTCCTGGGTCTACAGCCTCAGTCCTGGGTCTACGGCCTCAGTCCTGGGTCTACAGCCTCAGTCCTGGGTCTACGGCCTCAGTCCTGGGTCTACAGCCTCAGTCCTGGGTCTACAGCCTCAGTCCTGGGTCTACAGCCTCAGTCCTGGGTCCTGGGTCTAAAGCCTCAGTCCTGGGTCTACAGCCTCAGTCTGTAACGGTGGAAACGGGGCTACAGTGACATTGAGAAAAACAATTCAAACAAAATCTCAATCGTTTTGTATTTTTATTAAGGAAATATTTGACAAAACTGGTAAAACAGGAAACAGGACCATAAACATATGAACTAAACACATGTAAAACAGTGATATATATATATATATTTATTTTGCAGTCAGTAACTTAGAAAGGAACCATAACCACGCATCTGAACATTCACACTAATGTCAGGGAGGAGGGGGCAGAGCAGAACTAATTTATTAACCTCATAATAATGGATCAGCACAAAAGTGTTTAATATCAGAAACACAGAACACATACTACACACGTATGCTCCTGTAGTTCTCACATCCAACTGTCAAAGACAAGTCTGCTCCAACACCATGGACAAGGACCAGTTTCTGAGATCTCCTAAAGGAGGCGCTGTGGTGCAGTACCTCAGAGTCAGCTGAAGGAGGCGCTGTGGTGCAGTACCTCAGAGTCCGCTGAAGGAGGCGCTGTGGTGCAGTACCTCAGAGTCAGCTGAAGGAGGCGCTGTGGTGCAGTACCTCAGAGTCAGCTGAAGGAGGCGCTGTGGTGCAGTACCTCAGAGTCAGCTGAAGGAGGCGCTGTGGTGCAGTACCTCAGTCAGCTGAAGGAGGCGCTGTGGTGCAGTACCTCAGAGTCCGCTGAAGGAGGCGCTGTGGTGCAGTACCTCAGAGTCAGCTGAAGGAGGCGCTGTGGTGCAGTACCTCAGTCAGCTGAAGGAGGCGCTGTGGTGCAGTACCTCAGAGTCCGCTGAAGGAGGCGCTGTGGTGCAGTACCTCAGAGTCAGCTGAAGGAGGCGCTGTGGTGCAGTACCTCAGTCAGCTGAAGGAGGCGCTGTGGTGCAGTACCTCAGAGTCCGCTGAAGGAGGCGCTGTGGTGCAGTACCTCAGAGTCCGCTGAAGGGGGCGCTCTCTGGCACATGGTGCATGTCTCTGGTCATGTTACTCTTCTCCTTGAGTTTGGCCTGAAGCAGGAGGTGCTCCACGACTCCCATCCGCACCTCCATCTGCTGCGTCTCCTGCTTCAGCTTCATCACCGACTGTTTGATCCGGACCACAGAGGCTGGACCAGGACCAGGGACCAGGACCAGGACCAGGACCAGGGACCAGAGAGAGACCAGAGAGAGACCAGGGACCAGAGAGAGAGCAGGGAGACCAGGGACCAGAAAGAGACCAGGGACCAGAGAGAGACCAGGGACCAGAGAGAGACCAGGGACCAGAGAGAGACCAGGGACCAGAGAGAGACCAGGGACCAGAGAGAGACCAGAGAGAGACCAGAGAGAGACACAGGGACCAGAGAGAGACCAGGGACCAGAGAGAGACCAGAGAGAGACACAGGGACCAGAGAGAGAGACACAGGGACCAGAGAGAGACACAGGGACCAGAGAGAGAGACCAGGGACCAGAGAGAGACCAGAGAGAGACACAGGGACCAGAGAGAGAGACACAGGGACCAGAGAGAGAGACCAGGGACCAGAGAGAGAGACCAGGGACCAGAGAGAGACCAGAGAGAGACACAGGGACCAGAGAGAGAGACACAGGGACCAGAGAGAGACACAGGGACCAGAGAGAGACACAGGGACCAGAGAGAGAGACACAGGGACCAGAGAGAGACACAGGGACCAGAGAGAGAGACACAGGGACCAGAGAGAGAGACACAGGGACCAGAGAGAGAGACACAGGGACCAGAGAGAGAGACCAGGGACCAGAGAGAGAGACCAGGGACCAGAAAGAGAGACCAGGGACCAGAGAGAGACCAGTGACCAGAGAGAGAGACCAGGAACCAGAGAGAGAGACCAGGGACCAGAGAGAGACCAGAGAGAGACACAGGGACCAGAGAGAGACCAGAGAGAGACACAGGGACCAGAGAGAGAGACCAGGGACCAGAGAGAGAGACCCAGGGACCAGAGAGAGACCAGAGAGAGACAGGGACCAGAGAGAGACCAGGGACCAGAGAGAGACCAGAGAGAGACACAGGGACCAGAGAGAGACCAGGGACCAGAGAGAGACCAGAGAGAGACACAGGGACCAGAGAGAGACACAGGGACCAGAGAGAGACACAGTGAGTAAGTGAGAGCATGTGTGTGTGTGTTCTTACAGAAGAGTCTTACCTCCGTCTGACATACTGCTGCCCTTCTCCTCTATCTCCTGCTTCACCTTCTCCAGCTCCTCACAGACCTGACAACACAACAACACAACAACACGTCAACACATGAACACAACAACCACATTTGGACCAAGAACCACTTTTTCCTGTGAAGATGTTTACCAGAGAAAAGAAGATGCCATTAAAAGAATTTGGTAATTCTGTTTCCGGGTACACCCCCACCGGGGGGGAGCGAGATTACAGCATGGATCTATAATAATAACTTTATAGGGTATTGCAGACTAGAATCACAGGGCTACTCAGAAAAAAGTCCCATAGAACTCAATGTAAACTATAACAGCTTGACCAGAGAACCTGACAGAGAACCTGACAGAGAACCTGACAGAGAACCTGACCCTACAGCTTTCACAAAGGTCAGATTTTGTGTGGACGTTAGTGTCCCTTGTCGTCCTGAACTTTTTTTCTTCTTAAATCCTTCAGTTTTCTTTAAATCCACACTTTACTGCCACAAACTCTGCTCCTTTCCTTCCCGCTCTGACTCCGCTCTGCTGCTGCTCTGATAAGCAGCTCTGATTGGTCAGAACGCTGCCCTCTGATTGGTCAGAGCGCGGCTGAGCCCCTCTGTGCATGTGCATGAGAGCCACACACACGCATTTGGCGCAATGCATCATGGGAGCTCGTCCACTGCACAGAACCGGGAGGATCCGACGATGCCCAAATATGGGCATGTTCAGCTAATCTCCCGGTCTCTGTGAAGTCCCATGAACTACTGAGCCCAAGCCGTTCATTTGAATAGGACGCCATCTTGGATCACCGGGGCTTGGATCACAAACATGTCCGCCGGGCCCCGCCCCCTTTCGTAAAGAATGTGCAATAACCACATAATAACCATGTGTGTGTGTGAGGCCCCTGTGTGTGAGGCCCCTGTGTGAGGGACCCCTGTGTGAGGCCCCTGTGTGAGAGGCCCCTGTGTGAGAGGCCCCTGTGTGTGAGGCCCCTGTGTGTCTACAGGACACACAAGATGAACTAGGCGGCTGCATATATGAAAAAAAGCAGCTAACAAAAGGTTTCTCAGATGTTTTCTGTAGCGTCAGGTCCTTAATAACAAACTCAGGCCCTGTTTATACTGAGGCCCTGTTTATACTGAGGCCCTGTTTATACTGAGGCCCTGTTTATACTGAGGCCCTGTTTATACTGAGGCCCTGTTTATACTGAGGCCCTGTTTATACTGAGGCCCTGTTTATACCTGTTTATACTGAGGCCCTGTTTATACTGAGGCCCTGTTTATACTCAGGCCCTGTTTATACTGAAGCCCTGTTTATACTGAGGCCCTGTTTATACTGAGGCCCTGTTTATACTGAGGCCCTGTTTATACTGAGGCCCTGTTTATACCTGTTTATACTGAGGCCCTGTTTATACTGAGGCCCTGTTTATACTGAAGCCCTGTTTATACTGAAGCCCTGTTTATACTGAGGCCCTGTTTATACTGAGGCCCTGTTTATACTGAGGCCCTGTTTATACTGAGGCCCTGTTTATACTGAGGCCCTGTTTATACTGAGGCCCTGTTTATACTGAGGCCCTGTTTATACCTGTTTATACTGAGGCCCTGTTTATACTGAGGCCCTGTTTATACTCAGGCCCTGTTTATACTGAAGCCCTGTTTATACTGAGGCCCTGTTTATACTGAGGCCCTGTTTATACTGAGGCCCTGTTTATACTGAGGCCCTGTTTTACCTGTTTATACTGAGGCCCTGTTTATACTGAGGCCCTGTTTATACTGAAGCCCTGTTTATACTGAGGCCCTGTTTATACTGAGGCCCTGTTTATACTGAGGCCCTGTTTATACTGAGGCCCTGTTTATACTGAGGCCCCTGTTTATACTCAGGCCCTGTTTATACTGAGGCCCTGTTTATACTGAGGCCCTGTTTATACTGAGGCCCTGTTTATACTGAGGCCCTGTTTATACTGAGGCCCTGTTTATACTGAGGCCCTGTTTATACTGAGGCCCTGTTTATACTGAGGCCCTGTTTATACTGAGACCCTGTTTATACTGAGGCCCTGTTTATACTGAGACCCTGTTTATACTGAGGCCCTGTTTATACTGAGGCCCTGTTTATACTGAGGCCCTGTTTATACTGAGGCCCTGTTTATACTCAGGCCCTGTTTATACTGAGGCCCTGTTTATACTGAGGCCCTGTTTATACTGAGGCCCTGTTTATACTCAGGCCCTGTTTATACTGAGGCCCTGTTTATACTGAGGCCCTGTTTATACTCAGGCCCTGTTTATACTGAGGCCCTGTTTATACTGAGGCCCTGTTTATACTGAGGCCCTGTTTATACTGAGGCCCTGTTTATACTGAGACGCTGCGCAGACGTTTCCAGGCTATTAACAGAAACGACCTGGCTCCTAATGCAAATTTCTCTGCGTTCACATGAGGTTGAAAAACGATGTAGTTCTAGCGCCCGGCCAGTAGTGGGCAGAGAAACTTTACAACACTCACACGACCCCCAGCCCCGTGCCCAGCCCCCCTCTCTGCAGTGTACTCACTTCCTGTGCCAGACCCTCAGAACTCACCAACATCATTCTGCATTTTAACAGCAGCTGTGAAAATGGGAACTGAACCTAGAGCTTCTCGTTTGGACGAACGAAGGAGTAGAATTATCCTCTGTGCTAGTTAGTGTGAGCGCCGCCATTGTTGTTTATGTTTGTTCGCCGCTACTGCGCATGTCCAAATGTACGTGCGGGAGCAGCAGGAGGTGGGGCTCAGAGCAGAGGGAGGTGGGGCTCAGAGCAGAGGGAGGTGGGGCTCAGAGCAGCAGGAGGTGGGGCTCAGAGCAGAGGGAGGTGGGGCTCAGAGCAGAGGAGGTGGGGCTCAGAGCAGAGGGAGGTGGGGCTCAGAGCAGAGGAGGTGGGGCTCAGAGCAGAGGGAGGTGGGGCTCAGAGCAGAGGAGGTGGGGCTCAGAGCAGAGGGGGGTTTCACACCTTTTCCCTCTCGCGGGTGTGAAAGAGCCCCCGCTGTGCAGCGTTTCTGAGGCTGAGTTTACACGGAGACAATGTGGCAGTAAAACGGTATAGTTGGATGTCGGTTGCTACCAACCGTTCACACAAAGACCGTGTTCCAGGTGAAAACGTAAGTGTTCAGATCCAGCCTCAGAGTGGGACAACTCAGAAACGCTGCACAGCGCTTTTCAACCTCATGTGAACGCTGAGAAATTTGCATTAGGAGCCTGGTCGTTTCTGTTAGGCTGAGTTTACACGGAGACAATGTGGCAGTAAAACGGTATAGTTGGATATCGGTTGCTACCAACCGTTCATACGAAGACTGTGTTTCAGGGGGGTGAAAACGTAAGTGTTCAGATCCAGCCTGCAGAGTGGGACAACTCAGATACGCTGCACAGCAGGGAGCTTTTTCACACCCGCGAGAGGGGAAAAGGTGTGAAATCCCCCTCTGCTCTAACCCCGCCTCCGCGCTGCTCCCGCACGTAAATTTGGACATGCGCAGTAGCGGAGAACAAACATCAACAATAATGGCGCCGCCCACACAAACTAGCTTCGTGGGCTTCCAGCGCTGCACAGAGGATAATTCTACTCCTTCGTTCGTCCAAACGAGACCACGCGAAGCTCTAGGTTCAGTTCCCATTGTCACAGCTGCTGTTAAAATGCAGAATGATGTTGGTACTTTCTGAGGGTCTGGTACAGGAAGTGAGTATACTGCCGAGAGGGGGCTGGGCACGGGGCTGGGGGTCGTGTGTCGTGTTGTAAAGTTCCTCTGCCCCTACTGGCCGGGCGCTAGAACTACATCGTTTTTCAACCTCATGTGAACGCTGAGAAATTTGCATTAGGAGCCAGGTCGTTTCTGTTAATAGCCTGGAAACGTCTGCGCAGCGTCTCAGTATAAACAGGGCCTGAGTTGTCCCACTCTGCAGGCTGGATCTGAACACTTACGTTTTCACCTGGAACACAGTCTCCGTATGAACGGTTGGTAGCAACCGACATCCAACTATACCGTTTTACTGCCACATTGTCTCCGTGTAAACTCAGCCTAAAGTTTACCAAAGTTTGACCACTGGAAAGGTGTCATTTTCAAGATGGCGTCCGAGACGGGCAGGAAGCCCCTAACACATCCTAACTCCTTCATTATTGGACCCAGCCACGTCCTGTTGGGGTCTAACCCCATGTTTTCTGGGTCTGTGAATCCATTGGACTGGTCTAAATTACACTGAGATCATTACATACTTATGGAATACATGATTTTGTGATATTACTGTAAGGTTTTATCTCTGGGGTGAACCATTCTGAAGTCTGAAGAAGATGACAAAGTCTGGGATCGTGTCTTAAATTCAGACAGAAGACATGTTTTATTGTCGATGGTAGAGACAGCACGGACAACACGAACAAGGGATGTTAAAAACAGCAACTGGTAATATACTCAGGAGAAACAGCAGCTGCCACAGTGCCAGCAGAGATAGTCAAAACATGAAGTGGAAAAGTACAGGCTTCTGCACATTGATAGAATGATGAGTTTAACTTTAACAAAAGTTGCTTAAAAGTGTTATGAAATCTCACAAGTCCTTAAAGTAATTGATAAATATGCCCCATTTAAAACTATTCACGTACAAGGACAGCATCTTCCCTGGACTAGCTCTGACTTAATTAATCTTTTTAAACGTCGAGACCAAGTTTTGACTAAATACAGAGAGTTTAAAGACCCTAACGACTGGAGATCTGTAGACAACTCAGGAATGAATCCTAAACCCAAACTCCGAGTAAGCCCTCGGTCTGAACTACAACAATCCTAAACCATTTTGGAAACACCTGGACCAGCTTCTGGGTCGATCCAAAAGAAACTCAATCATGTTACTGTTAATAATACTACAATTACTGATCTTAACTTAATCTCTGATTGCTTTAATGAATACTTCTCCTCCATAAGTACTACACAGCACTCTGGTCATCCATACTTACCTAATCCACTGAATGACGTTCATGAGACATCATTTTCTTTTAATCAGATTTCACATTTGGATTCAATGCAAGCTGTAAACGAGCTTAAAACTAACAGTGCGGCTG